ATAATCACACACACCCATATATATATATATATATATATATATATATATATATATATATATATATATATATATATATATATATATATATATATATAGGGGAAATTTGCTAGACACCCCTTAATATGGACTTATATAGGTAGGGATCCATCCTATTAGATGAATATAGGCATAGGTCCCTAAATGAATAAAATTAATAGAAATTAAAATAAATTAATAGTATATAGACATAAATACCCTTAATTAATATTCATATATAAATAATTATTTTAGAAATTAAGGGAACAAATCCCACAAATCACTCCACCTCTCTCTCTTTTTCTCCCATCTCACACGGTCACCCTCCTTTCTCTCTCTCTCTCTCTCTCACACACACACACTCACGTCTTTCTTTCTCTTAAGTCTTCAATTATTCTAAACATTTATTCTTCATTTATTGTAAAAAAAAAAATCTTTAATTTTGTTTCCATAAGTATCTTATTAGCATCTTCAATCACCAACTTTTTTGTAATCATATATTTTGAATTTTAATTCTTATTTCATCTGTATTACATTTTATTTTTTAACTGATTTTACTTCAGCAAATAGTAAAACAAAACAAAAATTGAACAACAAAATAATTGCAACATAAAATAGAAAATTGCAAATTGCAACTTATGACTAAAAAATAAATTATAAAATCATTGTACGATGTTAAACAACAATCTAAAACAACAAATTGAAAATTGCAGTGGTGTAGTTAACCAAAAAAGGATTTGATTAATATTTTTGTTTCAAATTCTCTATGTTTTGTCGCTTCTTCTGCAATATCATTCGATGGTTGGTATGAGTCTTGAGTTGATTCGTTCTTAGTTTTCCTTTTTCGAAGAGGATGGCGCCTCATTTACTTAGTGATTCCCTCCTATATAAGTGATTGTTGAATGAACAAATACAACACACCAAGTTAACTTAAAAAGAAGTATACATCTATTTGTAAATTTGGGATGCAAAATGCAATGTGGTACCAATAAGCAACAGTAAAATGCAACTTTCGAAACCACATTGCAAAAAAAAATTAGAACAACAATTACATACAATAAATTGCAAACTTCAACAACAATTTATTAATTGCAAATTAAACATAAAATTGAATTTCAAACAAGAAATGTCATTACAAACTTCAAACAATAACTGCAATTTCAAAATAATAACTGCAAAGTGCAAACAGAACATGTAAACATGTACATCTTACGACCATGTAGAACTGATTTTTTTTTTAATTTAAATGCCCGTGCAGTACGAGGATTACAAAGAGAAAAAAAAGCATACCAATGCATAACACAAGAGCATGACACGTGCAAACAAGAATTGGCCTTACAAATACTTGTAAAGTGCAAATTGAAGTTGCAAACAAGTACTTTTTGCTTTACAAGCAACAAACGGAAGATATTTTTTTTCTAAAATGTCCACCCCATGTTTGATACGATAAAATTCAGACCAAATTAATAGCAAACAAAATGCATAACACAAGCAAATCAAATGCAAACATAAACTGCCATTTGCGAACAACAAATAACAACTTCAATTACAATCAAGAGATGCAAAGTGCAAACTGTAATTATGAATATAATCAAATTTCATAACAACTAGCAATACTTCCTAAACGTTACATACGACAATAATCTACAGACCCAATTATCAGAAACAATATGTTCCAACACAAGAACTCAACATGCAGACCTCAAACACATCGAAAAAAACAGAAAAACACAGAAATGCAACTTTAAAATGCAGCCCATGGTTGGTTATTGTAATTTCAATTTACATTTTTTTTTGTTTTTTTTTTTAGTTTATACAAACACAAGCCTGTCTTATGTTCAAAATAGGCTGCCATATGCAATATTAACCCAACTACGTCCAAATCAAAATTTTCAGTAAATGAGTTTTTTGCAAATGAAAAACGAATAAATGGGTTCTTCAAAGTACCAAAAAATATAAAATCAAAAATTTTATTATTTGAACAAAACCGGTAAAATTTGGAAATCCAAAACGAACATATTGAAATTCAACTTGCAAACTCATAACAGATAAATGTAAATAGCAAAGTCAGAACACATAATTAGGTTCTTCAAACGTATTGTTTTAGAATAAACATAACCATAGTCGTAACATACACAAACCCCTCAATTTACCTGATTTCGGGGATTGGAAATCATCATCATCCTTTGCTGTTAAGGGGGAAAAAACGGTTTCTCAAATTATTATTGAAATATTTGAAATAAATAGCAAACAAACTAAATACAAAAGGATCATTGATTACCAAGACTTAATCGTGTTTTGGCCATCGTATGAACTCCAAACAACAAACCCTAACACCAGCCGTTGATTCCGAGCAACAAACAATTTGTAAACTGCAAACAAAACGAAGTCAAAGTGGGCAACAACAATTTGTAAACTGCAAACAAAACGAAGTAAAACTGCAAACGACAAACACCCCAAACGACCTGGTACCCAAAACGACCTGGTAAAACGACCAAGAACCCAAAAATTGAACAGCAAATTGAACAGCAAATCGAAAACTGCAAACGACCAAATCGAAAACTGCAAACGATCAAGAACCCAAAAATCGAAAACTGCAAACTGCAGCAAATCGAAAACTGCACACACCCAAAACATCCAAAACTGCAAACGACCAAGAACCCAAAAATTGAACAGCAAATCGAAAACAAAGACAAAATGCAAACGACCTGGTAAAACTGCAAACGACCAAACATCCAAAACCTCTTGAAGGATTCAAAATTCGTGGTGAGATTTTCGATTTGAAGAATAAGGGGAGAAATCGAATTCAAGATTTTTGCAATTGGAATTTCGGATTTGCAGTATAATAGGGAGAGAAATGGGGGATTTGATTTTGAATATATATTTTACCGTATATTACTAGAGATATTGATAGGGGTACTTTTGACAAATTATAAATACAAAAATTTGCTGGAAATTAGAGTTTATTAGATGGATTTTAACACATATAATCTCTTATAGGAGGACCTATAGCAAATTGCCCCATATATATATGTGTGTGTGTGTGTGTGTGTGTGTGTGTGTTTAGTGAGTAGTTATTTAATTAAATCTAATATTCAAATGGGGTAAGTACAGATAAATCCCCAAATACAAACTTAAAGCGCAGATCAGTCCCTACAGACGTTTTATAGGCGAATCAGTCCCTACTGCAGAGTTTCACATACAGTTCAGTCCCTATGTTTGCATTAATTTATTATTTTTTTCTCTCTCAGTCTCTCTCTTCATTTAATTTTTCTCTCTCTTCATTTTCTCTTTCCTCTTTCCACTTTTTCTCTTTCTCTTTTCTCTTTTCTTTCCTTGCCCGTTCCAATTCAAAACTCAATTTTCAGTTAATTTTCTTCAAACAACAAACGAAAAGGCGCAAGAAAAACTTGTGAAGAAAACAAAATGAAAAGAGGAAAGAGACCCATTCTCAAAGAATTGTGAAGGGGAAGAAACAAGATTTGATTTTTTTTTTCTAGTCACATATTTAAAAGATGTTTGATAGTTTCATATAGGTTCTGAGAAAGACGCTTCTCGTATTATTTTTTGAAACATTTTGTGTTTTATGTGACTGCAGTAGTATATGTCGTATTAAACAATAGTATTGCTAGTGTAGTTGGATGGTGTTGGTGTTGAAATAAGAGATGAAAAATACTAGTATTGCTAGTCATATAGTAAAATAAATGCGTCAACTTAGTACGCTTACGTCTAGAATCACGTATATTTGGTTCAGTGGTGAAGTACATGTTGTCTAATTAAGTGAGTATCATGTCGGCATTTTGTGGCATTTTGAACTCTAAACGCAACACCATTGTTCATCAATCTTAAAATAGTCATTTAAAATATATTTCATGTCCCTCCCACACTCATTAATCACTAAATTTATTATGAAATTGGTACAATTCAGTTCATTATAATTATGGTACAATTTATTCTACATAAAAATGAATGCATTACACTGGTAATGCTCGTGTTGTCCATTCATAGAGTACACTTCTTTCAATGAAAAAGTAGATGTTCTCCATTTATATGGTACGCTTGCTTTATAGATATTATTTTGGGACCAATTTTGCTTTATATGATATAAACTCATTTTCTGAGGTATTCCTTCATTTTATGACTAATTACATGAAATGAGATAACGTGGGAATCCATGAACATCAATTATGGTAACATTTGAGAAAAATACTAGTCATACATACAAGTCTTGTACTATATGTGAATATCATGTGTCAAACACATTTGTGGACTCCAAACGTAACACCAATGTTCACCAAACTTAAAATACTCATCTAAAACATAATTTATGCATCTCCCATACTAATTCATCATTAAAGTGTCAAGGAAATTGGTTCAACTCAATTTATCACAAAATATAGTAGGTTTTGTTCCACAAGTTATATATACAATGTATAAACTGGTAAAGTTAGAGTTATTCATGCATATAGTATTCTGAGTTTATTAATAAAGTATATGTTGTCCATTCATATTGTAGTATTATATTCTTTATATTATTGTGGGGCGAATGCATCAATATAATATCATTTTAAGACGCATTTCTTCATTTTAAGACTATTAACATGAAATGAGATGATGTAGGAGTTGATCAACATAGATTATGACAAAACATTTGAGGGAATTTTTAGCTCTACGCATGAGCCTTATACACTTATATGAGTATCATGTAACAAATCCAACACATTTATGGTATCTTGTACACTTATATGAGTATCATGTATGAAATTCAACATATTTATGGCATTTTGTACTCCAAACGCAACAATAATGCTCACCAACCTTAACATACACACCTAAAACATAATTTATGCATCTCCCATACTAATTGATCATTAAAGTGTCATGGAAATCGGTATAACTCAATTCATCACAAACTATAGTCCGATGTGTGAAACAGGTAAGTGCAGTGAATACACATGTAAAGTACATGTCTAGAATTGACACGGTATCTTCAAATAAACTAGAAAATAGTTGTTGTTCATTAGTATGGTACGCTTATATTATTTATATTAATTTGTGGCCAAGTCAACCGTATAAACTCAATTCATAACAATATATAATACCATGTGTTCAACAGGTAAGTGCAATTCATCAAAATATATGGTACAATGTTTTCAATATAAAGTAATAGTAGAGCTGACCAATAGTAATTTTAGCTCTATAACAAAGGACATATTCCTGCAACTACATACACATAATTACAATTATATCAAATACAACCTACTATAAAGTTCCACTACTACTAGTTTCAACACCATCCAAATGCACTAGGAATACCAATGGCATATACTACAACATCAGCAAGAATAATACAATAAACATTTTTCCAATTTCCTATATCAAAGCCATCAAACATCATACATCAAATCCTTGGTAGGACTAAAAATGCTTTGAGAATATGCTAATGTCGCCGAATAATAATACCCAAGAGAGGAGTGTTCAAAATCGACAATAAATAAATGATTTTTGCAAACTCGAACAACAAATTAACAGATATTGGAACCGAGTTAATGATTAGGGGAAAGAAATCAAAACTTATTTCTTCCCCTTCACCATTCTTCGAAAATAGGTCTCTTTCCTCTTTTCTTTTTGTTTTTTTCTTCTTCTACTACCTTGGTTCTTCCTTTTCTTTGTTCTTGTTGCTTCATTTGTATTCATTTAGGAGCTTGTTTTCTTGCGCCTCTTCGTGTTCATTTTCGTTTGTTGTTTGAAGAAAAATATAGAAATTGAATTCGAACATGCAAGAAAAAGAGAGAGAGAAGAGACATAGAAAAAGAGGAAAGAGGAAAGAGAGAAGAAAAAGAAAAGTAAGAGAGAGAAAATGAAAAAGTTTGTAATTTCAGATTAAAGTAAATGGGTATTTTAGAATTTTCACTTGGCTCTAGGGATTGAACTGCATATGAAACTTTGTATTAGGGACTAATCCGCACTTTAAATTTGTGTTTGGGGATTTATATGTACTTACCCTTATTCAAATCCACCCAATATAAATAACCATATATATCAAGAAGCATATTATTGTTACCAAATTAAAGTTATTGCCATATTCGGACTAATTCAAGTCAAACTTCTTAAAAGTCAAATTATTTGATGTAACTAGCTAGGTATATTATTGATGGGCAAATGGCAAAAAGGCCCATCACATGGGACTTAAATACATTTTGGTCCACAAAAAAAACAGTCTCTCAATTAAGCCCATCCCCATGTCTTTAGTCTAAAATACCCTCAATAATATAATTCTTATCAATTCCACCCAATATGATCTAACTTCCTTACTATTACACATTGACCCCGGATTTAAACAAATATATCACATTAACCCCCAAAACTTTTTAAATTTCAGAACATAATTAGTAATCTGAAATGTATATTTCCGGCCAGATTCCGGGGGTGGATTTTTTTTTTTTTTTTTTTGAAATGGTTTTTTTTAGAAAAAAAAAATTTTTAATAAAATTACCGTTTTGACCACTAAAATACCGTTTTAGACAGGAATATTTCTGTTTGGGGCAGTAAAATTTTGAAAATTTTTTTTTCGGACCGTTATTTTTTTTATTTTTTTGTTTTAAACAAGTAAAATTCTGTTGGGGACAGTTATTTTACCTTCCAGGCCGGAATTTTTATTAAAAAAAATTTTTTTTTAGGGAAAAAATTTAAAAAAAAAAAAAAAAAAAGTCCATTTACAGTTAAATTTCTGTTTTCGACAGTTAAATAACTGCTGGGGACAGTTATTTTTCCACGAATACCGTAATTTTAATTTAAAATATTTTTTTTTAGAATAAAAAAGTCAATTAACAGTTAAATTTCTGTTTTCGACAGTTAAATAACTGCTGGGGACCGTAATTTTGCAAATTAATTTAAATATTTTTGAAGGGAAAAAAAAACCGTCAATTTACAGTTAAATTTCTGTTTCCGACAGTTAAATAGCTGCCGGGGATTGTAATTTTGCCAGCCAGACCGTAAAATTAATTAAAATATTTTTTTTAAGGGAAAAAAAAAAAAAAAAAAAGTCAACGCCGGAGACCCGGCGGTCAACGGCCGTTGACCGGCCGGAAAAAAATTTCAGGAAAACAAAATTCAAAAAAAAAAAAAAAAAATCAACGCCGGGGACGGGCGGTCTCCTGCGGTCAACGCCGAATCTGGCCGGAAAAAAAATTATTTTCAGAAAAAAAAAAAGTTTTGGGGGTTAATGTGATATATTTGTTAAAATCCGGGGTCAATGTGTAATATTAAGGAAGTTAGAGCATAATTGGTGGAATTGATAAGAATTAGGGTTAAAATTGGGGTCAAAATTGAAATTAGGGTTAAAATTGGTAAATTGATGAAATTGGGCTAAATTGGGGTGTAAATCATGAAATTGGAGTTGAATTGAGTTTCAATGAATTAGGGGTAATTTTGGTATATATAAAAGAATTTTCCTTATTTGCAAATAAGTTTAAATGAGGTGGATTTATTTGGAAGACAAAAAAGTTGGATGTCCCTATTTTAAATAAGTGCCCTTGTCATGGGCTTTTTGTGATTACCCCATTATTGATTAACGTGGGATTTGAATGATGGTGAATATCCATATATCATATGGTAATTTGCCGACAACTGTTTCACCCATT